TTGAGATTTTAGATTGAGATTATGAACGGAGACAAATCCGGCTAGTCCCCGGCGGGGCGTGTTGCAGCATCCGGCTCCCAGACTCAGACAGAGCAGAGACAACAGGTTAAATTGAGATTATGAAGGGAGACAAATCCGGCTAGTCCCCGGTGAGGCACGTCACACTATCCCTCTCGTTGCACAAATTGAGAACACCAATACTTCGCTGTTTGGGGAGTAAAGTATATAAGCAGCAGAAACATGCGAACCCACGCCTGCGTTGGTGGAAAGCGTCCCTGGCGTCCCCAGCGTCCTGGGCCCCAGCAGCTCACCTTAAGAAACAGCTGCCACATGCCTAGCAGATGCCCAGCAGTCTCCGCCTTGACTCTGACAGCCCCAGCCCAGCGGCATCGGCAGCAAGACTAACTCGAAACTCCGACGTACGTCTCGACAACTACGGCGCGATCTTCTGCAACGAGTCTAGATTGTAGACCTTTGAGCCCGCAGGAATTTCAGCGTGCCTACCAGATGCTTGCGGTCCTGCCGCATTCCTGATTTGGCCCATCAACCATGTCCGGTGACTGGTGCAACTGTTGGATTTCCTCACTGCACCCATCCGTGCTAAGATGTGGGTCTACACATCAATACACGGCGAGCCCCTACAACAAGCTGTGGCAGGCTCGCGGTCATCGCATATGCTTCTGGAGTAGGGTTTGACCAATCCGAAGCGGTTGGAGGTCACAAACGGAAACTCCACCAACTCATCTAATACCAACGGCACTGCAGCAGGAAACTTAGAGGGAGAGGGAGAGAGAGGCTAGAGGAAACTGTGCCCTTTCGCTGAAGAAGAGAGGCATGCTCGAGCAAAACAGTGGTGCTCGAGTAGCCACTCCAAGGATGCAGTGGCTGAGTCTGCAAAGCTAGCTGGAGACTCAGTTCCGGAATTACGGCCTTGTGGCGGGTCGCTCTGTTTGCGCCGAGGCTTGAGGCACCCCCGTGATTGTCATGGCTGTTGGCGGAAGGATGGTTATTCACCAACGATGGCGAAGGAAAATGTGGCACGAGCTTCATGTGGCAGGTAGTAGACACGCACCCGAAATGCACCGAGATGTAGCGACAGTATCTTCTTGTGTCCTGTCAGTGAGAGCCCTCATCTAGCCATCTTGGACAGCTACTGAGTGTGTTTCCAACTAGCTTTCGCCAGTCGAGGCAATCGCACCAGGATGCTATGTCGTACTATACAATATATGGCTAGCATATGTCACTTCGTGTTAGGGCGTGATCGTGGCTTGGAGAGACATTCCAACAGCGATGCTACCGTGTGAAGCAATCTGATTCAAGTTTACGATTTGGGCTTGGATGGCGAGCCTCATACAAGCATCGCCGGCATCCATCCACATCATGACATGAGTTGATTTCGGTGATGTTTTCAGTTTTCTCCGAAGCATCCGTCCTGCCGCAGCCGGGTTCAATCAGGTGGATCGTGGATCAAGATATGCGTCGTCAGAACATGTCGCATACACTTACCAACTCCACTTCCGGCCTTTGCTAACGAATTATTGTGCGCTGGCTTTGTATGGCTGATGCCGGAACCCCCCACTTGCAAATCTTTCTGAGCCACCCCAGCCGACACTACCAGTCGGCCTGAAACTGCCTGGCACCTAGACGTGCGTGCAAAAGGTATGTGGATCCAGACGTGCCGCAATGCTTCTGTCTATCAGATGATGGAGCCGCGACCACCGACCGGAGCCAGTGAAAGCAGCCGTTTCGTCCTTGCAAACTACCACCGACAGACATGTGAACGCATGAATCTTGCGATATACATAACGTTATTGGCTGTGATCGAGGTAGAAGCGGGCAGAGTGTTGGCAGCCGACAGAGCGCCGGCCCTAGTCGCCGGGCCGCAGGCTGCCAGTCAGAAAGTCTCTTCCGAGGCCGAAGAAGTGCCACCGTGAGTGTCCACTCCCGGGCATCGGAGGTTTCCCTGCCGTGTCCATGCGTTGCTCTTGTCAAGCTTGGGCTGCAACTCACAAGTGAAACCTGACTCGAAATCGAACCTCGGACTCGCACTGCAGAAGGAGCTAATCGTTCCATTCTCATGTGGACGTGGCTCGAAGTTGAGCAGGCATGCCTACACAAAACAGCAGCAGGAGCAGGAGCAGGAGGAGGAGGAGGAGTAGTAGTAGGAGGAGGAGGCGTAGGAGTAGGAGTAGTAGGAGTAGTATAGGAGTAGTAGGAGTAGTGGGAGTAGTAGGAGATAGTAGGAGATAGTAGGAGTAGTAGGAGTAGTAGGAGTAGTAGGAGTGGTAGGAGTAGTGGTAGTAAGAGGAGGAGGTGGAGGAGTAGGAGTAGGAGCAGGAGCAGGAGCAGGAGCAGGAGCGGCAGCAGTAGTAGTAGTCGCAGTCGCAGTCGTAGTCGTAGTCGTAGTCGTAGTCGTAGACGTAGACGTAGACGTAGAC